ATTTCTCTCCTTAATTCTCAACTGGCCAATGTTTTTGATAGACATGAGTTTTGCAAACACTCTACTTAAGAAAGAAAAATGAAACTTCATGCTCAACTATTTTCATCTCTATGGTATTTGGCTTTTGTGATTTTGTAAATCGGTTTCAAGCAAAAGGAAATGTATGTCTCTTTTCTAGGTGTGTTCATTGATAAATTTCATTGGGTGACCTTCAGAAAGTCAACCATTTCCTCTTTGGTGCTTTCCTTATGAAAAGTCACTTTGTGTCCCCATCCATTCAGGTCTTGTTCCCGTGATGACCTTGTTCAAGTTCCTCTGGAAGTGGGGTCCCCAGATCTCCATCCAACCACCCAACAGAGCTGTGTGTTCTGCACACAGCTCTGAGGCACTGTCCCCTCCTTTGTTTCACATATTGTTCTTCTGCTAATGGATCCCAAGCTTACATCAGCCTACAGGAGTCAGGAGATAGCTCACATTCTATCTACTTGGAGAGATTTATCAAGATTCAGATGCCTAGATCTTACCCAGCCCCAGTGAAACAGAATCTCTGATTAGACCCATTCCATGTAATTCTGACGTGCATCCAGATTTCAGCAAATAATGCCCCAGGGGTTTCTTTTGCAGGGATGAGGCATAGGCCCAGGTGTAGATTTCAGGGGTCTAAATGTCCATCTAGCTCTCCTTTTCTTTTGATCTATGCCAAAGTTGTTTTATTTTTTAAGATTTTATTTATTTATTTATTTATTTATTTATTTATTTATTTATTTATGAGAGAGAGAGAATGCACAAGCAGGGGGAATGGCAGGCAGAGGGAGACACAGACTGCCTGCTGAGCAAGGAGGCCAATGTGGGACTAGATCCCAGGACCCTAGGATCATGACCTGAGCCAAAGGCAGAGGCTTAACTGACTGAGCTACCCAGGTATCCCTGATCTATGCCAAAGTCAATTAAAAGTCTTAACCACAAGGGGGGACCACATGCAAGGACTCTGGCTCTCTCAATGAAAAGAATGTGAGGGGGTAACTGGGTGGCCCAGTCGGTTGGGTCATGGACTCTTGGGTTCAGCTCAAGTCGTGATCTCAGGGTCGTGGGATCAAGCCCCAAGTTGGGCTCCATGCTCAGCATGGAGTCTGCTTGAGCTTCTCTCTCTCCCTCTCCCTCTGCCCCTCCCCACTGTGTTCTCTCTCTCTCTCTCTCTCTCTCTCTCAGATAAATAAGTATATCTTTAAAAAACAGAAAAAAGAAAAGAATGTGAGAGGGTCCCTCTCATCCCCAAGGTTTAGCATTCACAGATAACCAAAAAATGACATACTTATTCAAGAGTTCCCTATTGATGAAATCCTCCATCTTACTATATCCTCACAGCTATATCAGTAACATAGGAGTTGGACCTGCCATTTTGTAAGCAAGGAAAGTGTTGTGTGAGAGTGATCACGTGACTTCAAGGTCTTACTGCTAGTAATTGACAGAAATAGCTTTCTCAAACATTCCAGCCAGCACCAGCACATACAGTAGCCTTCACCACTTAAGAGAGCCAGGAGGATATAAACCAGACACATATACACAGCATCCCAACCCCCAAACCCTCCCTCAAGCAACATCTGTCTAATAATAAAGATCAGAATTCTCTTAACCTCCACAGAACCACATATGCATAGAGGTCAAGCAAACGAGTAAAACAAGTTTATCATCCATGCACTTAATTTAAAAGGTTTCAACAATATGTGAACATCCTGGGAAAGTAGGAAAGGAAAACCATCTGAATACAATGGGCCAATGCTTCTCAAACTTTAATATGGATATTAATTATCTGGCATGATAGGCAGAATAACACCCCCCAAAGATGTCCAAATCCCCAGAGCCTGGGAATATGTTACCTTACCTGGCTAAAGGGACTTTGTTGATAGGATTAAGTGAAGGAATTTGAGAAAGGGACATTATTTGGATCATCTACATGTAACCACAAGGGAGGTGGGAAGGTCAGAGTCGGAAGAAGACACGACAAGGAAACTAGAAGCCAGCGGTCAGAATCAGAGAAAGCGATCTGAAGATGCTGTCTCAATGCTGGTTTTCGATGGAAGATGGGGTCCCAAGGCAAGGAATGGGGGAAGCCTCTAAAAGCTGGAAAAGGCACAGAATGGATTCTCCTCTAGAACTTCCAAAAGGAACACGGCCCCGCCAACACCTTGATTTTAGCCCAGGGAGACCCACTTGGGACTTCCGACACCTGGAACTCCGAGATGATAAAGCTGCATCGTTTGAAGACACTAAGTCTGCATTTGTTGCAGCAGCCATGGGAAATGGGTAGACCTGGGAATGGGTAAAATGCAGATCCTAATCCCGGCTCCCCTCAGGGGTGAGAAGTCCTAGGGGGAGCTTGCGGGTAGTGCCCGTGCACTGGTGCTTGGACCACGCTTTGAGAGTCGAGGCCATCAGAACTCCCCTGCACCTGCTCCTTCAGTGTCTGGAGGCTTCAGTGAGCACATCCTGCAGACCCTTCAGTCCCTCACCTCTGACGGCCCCAGCATCTGTCCCATCACACCTGGTGCGGACCTCAGGTCAGCCTCGTTTTCAGTATTACCTACTCTGAGAGGTACCTCCTTTTATTCTTATTTCTGCTCCCTGCTTATTTACTTGAGTGATTATAGTCCTAAGTCTGGGTGTTTATTTATCATCTCCCCCTCACATGTCTGCTGCCCCGTTCCCACCATGCAACACAGTGCCTGACATAGAATAGGCACTCTTGTGGGAAGGAAGGAAGGAAGGAAGGAAGGAAGGAAGGAAGGAACGAACGAACGAACGAACGAACGAACTAAAAATTAAGGAAGTTCTTAGTTCTTTTTTCAAATAGATGCCTGACCAAATCTCTCACAACTTGTATTTGTACAACTGAATTTGTTTTAAGCTACCTAATCCAAAAGTTTACACTGATCCAAGAAGCTAAATTTTCTCAGACTGGCCTCTATGTTCCAAACAGATGAAATCAATCTGAACACTGATCTTTTCCATCCCTGTTCAAGATTCCTCCCCCACTCTGAAAAGCCTGCTGCGGCAGGTCAGTTCCCAAGAAGCAGGCTCTGAGAGGAACATTGGCAGGCAGGAAGCTTACAGGGTTGTGCTCACAGGATCCCTAGGGGTGGGGGCAGGGAAGACAGGATGGAGTGGCCTGCAACACAGACTCAAGAGAGTCCTCAGCTGGTTCCCAAAGGGAGCCCAGGGGTCGGCGGGCCCTGCAGAGTCATCCTGGGCCAAGGGCTCCTGACAACCACCAGTCACTGGACAGGCTACGTCCTTGGCAATGGTCAGTCATTGAGGGCAGCTGCCCCAGAAGGGAGCATGGACTGGAGAGGGCACTCTTCTGTTCCAGGCAAGCCCCAGAGAGGGATCAGCTGAGAACTGTCGACCTTGAAAGCTTCCAGCAGCTGGGGGAAGGAGTGGGCCAGTCGTCATAGCTGGGGTTCCAGGCAGACTCCACAGCATTCACCACGCATGCCCTCTGTTTCCTCAGGCACTGGGGGAAAAGAAACTATTAAATCAAGCGAAGCCCAGAATAGAGCTTTGTGTCATACGAATATGAACTAGAGAGGAATAGACTAAAGATGCAGCAAGAAGCACACTGGTGTAGAAGAGTCCA